TGAAAACAGCTGAAAGGGCATTCATAGTCCTGCAGCGGTGGCACCTGTGTGGGTGTCACCCGGTGCGGCCGCTGCACATGCTTTATGACGTCCATGGTGTGACATCATTACGCATGTGCAGTGATGTACTTCACTGCTGGTGGCTATCTTGGTGATGGACGCCAGCAAAGATTGGAGGGGATATTGACCCGGTGGGATCAGGTATGCCGCTGGGTCCCTCTCCCTCGTGCCACTGTTGGGCTCCCGGGCCATGACCGAGTGCCCGACTTTTAAGAGGCGGTGACACCAAAATAACTGTGATAGGATGACAATGCTCCATAGACACAGTACAGCCAGTAAGCGTTGTCACTCTAGGACAGGAAGCATGTTACTGACAGGATTACCAGGTATAAAGGGAAACATGAAAACATATGCAGACGCCATATCTACAGACTGATAAGCTGCATCATAGGACATTCTTGTGCTTGGGTTTCAGATAGGCTTTCATTTTTGGATTTGATCGCCGTTTACTGGTAGCAGTTTTTGTTTTTTATTTTTGCATTGCAGTTAATTTGGCCTTTAAATGCTACGAGGGCATCAATACAGGACGCAAATCTAATCTGCCATATCGAAACAGTGATGAGCTCGTTCAGTTCCGAAATCCAGTGATATTTCCACGGAGCTCCATCCAAAGTCCGAGCCTTTCCATGGTTATTAGGTATCATTGGCAAAGGGATATTGGAAAGCAATGTTCCGGCAGGTTCCGTCCTGGAAAAAAAGAAGTGCCCTAATCGGACACACTTTCCAACCAGCACAGCGAAAACGGATTTTAATTACCTCAAAGTCGATGCCAAAATTAACTCGAAAATGTATCATTGTAATCCCCGGCAGCTCCCGGCTGGAGCTGTAAGGGTTATGCCAGTCAAATGCCAGCCGTAATCAGGCGAGGTTACTCCAGATTAGGGGGCGCGGTGCGGCGGTGACAGTCGGGAGAGCTCTGTGGTCTTTCAAGAGGGAATGACGATGATGAGACAGCTCGGCTGCCATGTACAGGATAGCGCCTCAGCCTTCCCGCAAGTCTGAAGATTCTGTTTAGAATACAGATCAATAATTTTCCACAGAAAGAGACCTCGGCAGCTTCTAATTCTGTCAATGGGTCAAAGGTCGTAATCCAACTCAATCTTCCATAAATTATGAATGAGGATTTCTTTCCTTCCTCTCCTATACACTCTCTACAATGTAACTCTTTATCCTCGTCTCCCCCCTTCCACCCCCC